CAACTCGTACGGAGTTTTATCATATTTTTTCCGGGAACCTTATTTAAAAGGTAATTGCTTGTTAAGATCGCTTCGCCCCACATGTTTTGTGGCAGGCCCGAACTTACTAGCATCGCATTCATCATATCTTTCAATGTGCGATTCTTTCGTTCGGCAACACCGTTTGATTGAGGTGAATAGGGTGCGGTACGTTCATGTACTATACCCACACTAGCGCAAAAGTCACCAATTGGTGCTTCATACTCACCACCTCGATCACTCCTAACCGTTTTAATCCGTCGATTAAGTTGGTTTTCCACTTCATTCTTATAAAGAATGAATTTATCGATTGCTTCGTGTTTATTTTTCAACAAATAAACATAGCTATAGCGAGTGCTATCATCGATAAAAGTAATAAAATATTTATTACCACCACGTGTTTGTATTGATTTAAAATCACAAACGTCACTATGAATTAATTCTAGTGGTTCCGTTTTTCTTTCAACCGATTTGAAAGACGTTTTCGTTAGTTTTGCATCAACACAAATATCACATTTGTGCTTCACATCAATTGTGAATTTAGGAATGTGTTCCATGTTAATTAATCTACGTATAGAATTAAAATTAACATGTCCTAGTCTACCATGCCACACATTGGAAGACTCAAGCAAGTAAGCAGAAGGGATTTTATTATTATTATGAAAAAAATAGTCGTTACATTGAGCTTAAACAGCCCGTCACATGCATACCCTTTGCCCACATACATTCCCGACTTGGACAAAACTAATTTGTCCGACTCAAAAACCATACGAAAGCCATGCTTGTTCAACAACGAACCGGAAATCAGGTTTTTGCGTATCTCCGGAACGAACAGCACTTGGTTAAGAGTCAGCTCCTTGCCCGAAGTCATCTTCAGGACCACCTTGCCCACGCCTTCAACCGCGGAATGAGCCGAGTTTCCCATCCACACCTTCTCACCATTTGATGGCTCAAAGGTTGTGAATAACTCCCGATTTGAGCAAATATGCCGGGTAGCACCGGTGTCCACAAACCACTCCTTGGAATTGGATCCAATGAGGTTGACTTCCGTAACCACAGCCGCTAGGATGATATCTTCATCCTTTTGCCCACCTTGCACCAAGTTAACGTGAGAATCTTTCTTCCTCTTTGGTGCCTTGCAATCCGAGGACTTGTGTCCATTTTTATTGCAATTGAAGCATTTTCCATTGAACTTCGTCTTGGAAACGCCTCCCTTGGGACCGAGCTTGCTCTTCCCATTACTTTTATTTTTGGAGCTTTTTGCATGCTCCACCACGTTGGCCTTGGCGCCATGAACAATTGGGAGTTTCCCATCGTTCTTCCGGTTATCCTCTTCAATCCGCAGACGGAGGATCAATTGCTCCAAGTTCATTTCCTTTCGCTTATGCTTAAGGTAGTTCTTGAAATCCTTCCAAGCCGGCGGCAATAAATGAATAATTGACGCCACTTGGAACGACTCACTAACTGTCATTCCTTCATCTCGAATTTCGTTGAAGATCATTTGCATCTCCTCAACTTGACTCAAGACCGTCTTCGAATCCACCATTTTAAAATCAAGGAATCGACCAACAACAAATTTCTTTGCGCCGGCATCCTCGCTTTTATATTTGTGGTCCAAAGCATTCCATAGCTCCTTAGCCGTAGCTAATTTGCTATAAACGTCGTACAAAGCATCGTGCAGTCCGTTCAACACATAGTTTCGGCAAAGGAAGTCAGAATGCTTCCAAGCCTCAACCGCGTTGAGAGATTGCACATCTACCTCACTCCCGGTTACAACCGGAGCGTCCTCGGTCAAGAAACGTGCAAGACCGAGAGTAGTGAGATAAAATAGCATCTTTTGCTGCCACCTCTTGAAGTTTAACCCATTGAATTTCTCGGGTTTCTCCACAGAGTTGCTTGGCACGGTAACCATAGGGATAACCCTTTGGTTCAAAGCAGATGCACCGCGTTGTGAACTATTGTTCACCGGAGCTCCGCTTTCAGAGTGGTTGTCGTTCAGAACATTCTGCCCAACACCAATCTCGTTTTCTTGAGAAGTCATTTTCGTTTTCTTAACGTTTTTCGGAAAACACAAAAAATTAAGTTTGTTCACCAAGGTGACAAACTACGATTTTAAGATTGTATACCGCAGTATAACAATCACCAAATACGTTTTAAGATTGTATCCGTATGATACAAGCTTAACACAACAAATACGTTTTAAGATTGTTGGGTGTGTTTCGGAAAATAAAGAAAAATCAATTAAAATAAATTAATTAAAATGACAAAGAAAACAAGAAAAGAGATGGAGCAGAAATTTGTCAAAGCTCGTGCTACGCACGATGTCCTTAAAACGTATTTGTTGCCTCCCACGGTGCTAGGAGCGTTGCAACAATAGTTTCCCAGGATACGATGACAACGAACTAGTGTTTGAGCACTCAAACAAAAGTTCCAGCGAACGAGAACAAAGACTGAACACAGAAGGAATTTTCAGAGTGCTAGCAGTGTGTTTTTAGAGCTAAAACGTGTATGGATTCGTGTAAAATCGTGTAAGAACGTGTGTTGTTGCAAACCACCTGCCAGCCATTATATAGGAGGATTTGTTGTACGAAAATAGTGAATTAATGGACCTGAACGTTGGACATCAATGACCAGTCCGTTGGGCATTGAATCGTCCATGAACTGTCCATTTAACACTGCATTAAAAGATATAAACGTTGGGCATTTATTGCTGTAACGGTTCAGAAGTGCCACCAGAATACCAACGCGAGGTATTCTGATCGAGGCCATCAGAATACCAACGCGAGGTATTCTGATCGAGGCCATCAGAGACCGACACCAGAATACCAACGCGAGGTATTCTGATCGATGCCATCAGAGACCGACACCAGAATACCAACGCGAGATATTCTGATGCCATGAGAGACCGAGGTCTTCTGCCGCTAGACACTTCTGTCAACTGGGAAAAAATATACGTTTCGGGAAGAAAACAAAAATTAATCGTATCTCTTGAGAGATACGATTTTTGGACGACATTCGTGTCCGCAGGTCGCCCGCACACGCAAGTCGCGGTTTTTCTTCTCCGAATTCGGGATTTGATTTGCACCCCCCCCCCCTTGCGCGCGTGAGAGAGCCTTTACCCTTAAGAATCTTAACTCCTTAAGGGGAGAGTCCCTTTATAAAGGGTTGCAAATCCCTTGGGTTTTCCGGTGTGGGAAATTAACACTAGAAACCCATCTTTTTTCCCAGTTTTTCCATTCTAACGGGTAAACTTCGAAAAGCGATTTCTCGTTCACCCGTTATCCGTTTTGAGCGTACCATATATCGAATTGTAGCCCTGAACAAGGACAATCCGAAACCACTTTGACCCGACCCAAATCGGAAGTGGACCCCACTCAAAAAATTGCCCCAAAATAGCCATTTAATGCAATTTTTCACACATTTTTCCAACAATAGAGTCCGATAAAAACAAATGGGTGGCACAATGCAAAAGGAAGAAAGAATGTCATTGCCCCTGGAGAATACGCGCCACAAAGAACAAAGGCAACCTTCACACCTTCACAATTGTGCGTTATTCTGGACCTCATTCTGCTTCTTGTGTAGGCAACATCGACACTACAGATCACGTGGCCTTGACATCAGAATTCATCTGTAAAGATGTGGTTGACATTATTCGCACTGATCCTTCTCTTAAAGTGCATACTATCATCGAGATGTTGAAGGAAAAATATGGGTATACGGTATCTTATCGGAGAACATGGATGGGGAAGCAAAAGGCCATAGCACAAATATTTGGCGGTTGGGAAAAGTCATATTTCGAATTGCCCCGTTTCATGACAGCGCTCCAACATTCTAATTCAGGAACTGTTGTTCAGTGGTACCCACCCCCCAATGGTTCCACAGGTTATATGATGTTTCAAAGAGTTTTTTGGGCATTCAAGGCATCAATATCTGGTTTTAAGCATTGTCGACCCGTACTTACTATTGATGGCACACACATGTATGGAAAGTACAAGGGTACATTGCTTGTGGCCTTTATGTAATACTTGTATGTATTTGAATGTAATTGTAATTGTGTTTCATATTTCAGACACGAGCTTTGCAGCGCATACATCAGCGGGCTACTGCCACTGTGACTGATATTCCTGATGTGGACATGTATGGACAGGCTCTGACAGGCATTGCCTCGTTGTGCTCAGATGTGTTGGGCCGAGTAGACTACGGACATCTTATACACATGCCCCCATCTCAGGAGATGGCATCCACGTCTAGTGCAGCCGCGGCTTCATCATCCCAGACGCAACATGAGAGTGGTTCTTCAACCACGACAACGCCGTAGGCGTAGACATGAGCAGCAACATCTCCATGACGAAGCTGACGATGGGAACTTGTAGTCTGTCTTTTGTATTGTAGTTTTTCTTATGCAGTAGATGTTGTAGGAACAATTTACAACATTTGACGTATTTTATCTTGTAAAGTCTTGTATGTTGTCTTGATGTGTTCGAGTCTGAATGTTAGATGATTACTTGTTATGAATATTGAATGATTGTACTTTGTTATACCGGTTATTTTGAAGGTGTTTTTTATGTTGATGAGAGGGGGTGTTATGTATGTGATTGAGAATCCGTGTGTTGTATGTTTAATAATATGTTTTATAATGTGTTGTATCTGGCTCGTAAGACTTAAACAGGAGAAGAGAGACCTTATTTATAGCAAACAGATGAGTCCGGGTTGAATTGGCACGAAAAATCTGCTCAAATACTGTTTTTGGACATAGGCACGATCGTGCGTCCCAGGCTGGGCACGATCGTGCCTGGCTGGCAGTAGCTGCTCGCCTTCAACCTTAGGTCAGGAGTAAGTCGCCCAACGGTTGGGCGACTTATAAGTCGCCAAACGGTTTGGCGACTTATAAGTCACCCAACCGTTGGGCGACTTACTCCTGACCGTGGTTAAGGGCCAGCAGTATTTTGGTAAATACTTTTTTTCCAGTATTATTTCCGTAATTAATTAATTAATTAGCATTAATTAGGAAAAAAACTCGCAAATGCATTCCTCGCATATGGGCTTGTCATTTTCTTTCTTTTGAAATCCAACTCAAATACATACAATATCTTACAAATGCAAAACTACAACACCCCATCTATAAGGGTTCACTACGACCAACCGAACAGTCATCTGAGAAAATGAAAAATTGAACTTTGATCATATATCGATGAAAAAAGAGTAATGTTTTATCTCAAGTCATTGTTTGGAGTTGAAACAGAAATCTTTCTCGGAATTAGTCCAATCTTCATAAGTTGTGTCTCTTTTGGTCAACGAACAAGACAAAATTAACAAACAAGGGTCAATCAGGCGGTGGCTCCCAATCCTAGGAAATCATAGAAATGGACTTTATTGTTCATGGGATTGCCTTGATCTGATGATGTCTTCTTCCTACTGTTGCCCACTGACTCTGATGCAGAAACCTGTGATGAGTTTGATGAATCTGATTGACCACCCCACCCCACCGATCTTTCCTTCACACCTTCCACCCTTAACCATGATGATGACCCTGTAACCAACAATTAACCCAAATGATAATTGTGGACGACCAAGAAAATGGATTTTACCATAACTTTTGACTGTTAAAAGACTTGCGAAAATTCGGAGGATAAAGAAAGTGACAATAATGATCATTTACAAAAGCGTTACAAAATACAAACGTGCGCAATCCCGGCCAATTTTCAACACAATCATATCGTTTTCACATTAATGATCATCCATTGTGCCTCTTCAAGTTTTTTAAACGATTTTGTAAATCTTTATTTTTTTTAGAGGAATTATTTATTCGAATAATTTTATTTTTCTGATATGCTTGAAAATTATTATGGATATAAAAACATAAAAACAGGTGATATATATACTACGTATATATATACACCTTAAAAAGACATAAAAACACAGTGTACTTGAAGCAGAGTACTCCCTCCGTCCCATTTTGGTTGTCTTACTTTCCTTTTTGGGTTGTCCCAAAATAAATGTCTTGTTTCCTTTTTTGGCATGAAATATGTGGTTCTTATTAATTCACTTTATTCTACTCAAATCTCAACCACAACTTTTACTTTTCAACCACTTTATTAATAATTGTTCCAAATTGAAAGTGGAGAACCATTATGGGACGGAGGGAGTACTCTTTTTAATTTTTTTTAATAATGATTTTTTTTGTAACAAAAAAAACAGGTGTCAGAATGGTTTAACCAGGATCAGATCTCTGTATTGGGGTTTAAAAACCTTAAACTAGATTTAATATTGTTTTTTTTTCAGAGAAGTACTGAAGTAAAAAAATTGTCGATGAGCCGGAAATACCTTTAACGGTTCTGATGATTTGAAAGTCCGGCGGAGGCGTCGGATAAAGAGAAAACGTAGCTGCAGGGAGGCAGAGATCAGTGCAAGTCGACGCCGTTTCGTCGCCGGCGGCGAATGCGCTGCTCTTAGTATCATCAGCCGTGGATTCGTTTCCCGCCGCAGCATTTAAAAATCTAGTTCTGTGATCTTCAACGTCGTTTGATCGCTTCCTCCTCTTACAACCGCTACTACTAGTACTAGCTCTGCTTTCGCCGGAAACAGGGGAACTAAACGGCGGTGGCGGCTGACGGCGGTGGTCCCGGGCGACGAGGACGTGCCAGTGGTTCTTAACGGCGTTATCTGTCCGGCCGGGGAACAGCCGGGAAATCATGGCCCATTTATTGCCGTACATTTTATGCGCCTCGATCAGCATTTCTTCTTCCTCCTCTGTAAAAGCTGTCTTATTCAGCTTCGGATCTAACTGGTTAAACCACCTCAATCTGCAGCTCTTCCCTGTATGGATTCACAAAATCAATACAAAACCAAACCAAGCAAAAAAGTATATAAAAATCAAGCAATCCCCTATGTTGAAGGGAAACCTAAAAATCCCGGAAACAAGAAACGTCATCTAAAAACAACTATTTAGAGAGTTTGTAAAGAGTTTCCGTAAAGTTTCGAGAACGAAAACGTATTCTTTCTCGAGAGTTTCTGTGCTTCATATGTGATCCCGTATTATGTTACAGGGAAACGTAAAAATCCCGGACACAAATAAAAAAAATATATTCTTTCCCGAGAATTTCCGTGCTTCATAAGTGACTTCAACGAGTACCTGATCGTCCGTGAAGATGTTGCGCAATGAAATTCCAGTTGTGGGGGCCGTGGAGAGCGACAAGCTCTTTGAGCTTGGCATCTTCGTGGGGCTTCCAATGGCTTCTCGTGCAGAAGCCGGGGTGGTTTCCTCCGGCCGCCGCCGTGCCGTCGGGTAAAGGATTGGCATCGGTTTTAGCTTGGGAAATGAGTTGGAGTAGGTGAGTGGGAGGAGGATGAAAATGGTCAATATTCATATTTGGTGAATCTAATCTAAACCCAAAATATGGACCCCAAAGTTTTGGTGAGTTGTAAGAGGAAATAGAGTCGATGAGTGAGGCATTTCTTTTCCTTTTATATACAAAAAAAGTAGTCCGTACTATAAAAATGCATAAAATACTAGTACAATTTAACGTACTCGTGACCAATGAGTACAACGTTAAAGTGAGGGAAATATGGGTATTTCAGGGAAATGCTAAAAGATGAGTAAAATATGGGTATTTCAGGGAAATACATAAATAAGTTTTTTAAGATTCGAATTGTTTTCCGGGTTTCCCATTCGAATCAGCTCGGAAAAACCTCCATATTCCACAAATTGAGACCTTTTAGTTTTTCTTTTCTTTCATTTTTAAAAGTATATATGACTCATATTGGAAAAAAATATCCTTTCGCTATATTTATTATGTATATCAGTATATGTGAATTTATTTGAGGGAAATTCATACTTGTATTAATTCATGTCAATTTTTACCAGTTTAAAAATACTTTCGGGTAGATCATATATAAATGTCTCTTTTACACCATTATCCGGTATTATTCATGACATTAGGTGAGAAATTGAATCCCCCTTCTTTTTACCTGTGAACAGTCAACAACATCAAATTGAGCGCAAAAAGAAAAATATCATCCAAAAAAAAATTTAATGGAATGTTGGCTTCCTTTCTTGAGGAAGCTACCTTAATGAAACTTAATGTGTCGCTTTCACGTACAATTTTCCTAGATCTTGCCGGGTGCGCTCTTTGTAGTGCTTATGCCCCTGCTACACATTCTGCCATCTCCGCCTCCTATTTCACATCTAATCATTTGACTCCTGCCATCACTAGTCTGCCATGTTCATCTAAAAGATTAGGGCTCCATGTGCCACACCTCTAGTGGTGTAGCTAGGGGATGGCCAACTCTGGCCCGGCCAAAAAATATTCTTTGTACTGACATAGTCTGGTCTAGTGCCCTGACTCCACCCATGCACACCTCCTCCTCCTTTGAAAATAGCTGCATCTAGGTCTGCACATCGGGCGGTTTGGGTCGGTTTGCTATTTTTTTGGGTCTACCCAATTTATTCGGGTTGGCTATTTACCAACCCGCGATATGAAATATAAGTTGGTAAACCATGCATGAACGGGTCGGGTAGGGTCGGGTATTGAAAGGAGTTTATTTCGGATTGAATCTTGAATATGGGAAACTAATGCATGCAATATGAATCTCGGTTAACTTGTTACCAACATACATAACAAATACAAGTACTTTTTATAAGAGTAAAGTTAGGGCAATAGTATCAAAACATTCTTGCGTAAAGGAAATTAATTTAGAAGCAAATGCATATGTGTGTGTACCAATCACCTAGTCAAAATGGTAAATGTTTATAATGCTAAAATCATAGTCTTAGATAGAGCACATTATAGTCTTAGATAGAGCACATTGATCTTATATAGAAAATGTCCAACTAAACTTTGTAGCATAATAATATATTGAACTTTCGGCTAGGTCAGGTACTATCGGGTTTAAAATTTTGATTCAGCAACCCTACTCATTAGGTGCGAGTTCGTACATATTTAACCCGTGAATATTTTTAAAAATCAAATACCCGATTAAATGTGATCGGGTAAGGTTGGGTCGGACGGGTTATACAGGTTCAGGTTATTCTTGTGCAGCCCTAGCTGCATCTTCACTATCTTACAACACTTTGTTGTTTCTCAAATCAAACACTCTCTTTTGTATACTTACATGGACTCTCATTAGTCTCATGTACTCTAGCAAGTAGCCTCCTTTGCTTTTTATTGGCAGTGATATCATCGCTTATCACTCCCAACCAAATGCCAGAAAACTACCCGTATCTATCATCGGTTCATGAGCCAAGGGTTCACTCTTTTTGAATTTCAAATATAAATTACAGCTCACATTTAATTAGTGATGATTATTTCGTTGCTATCAACAAATAATTTGATGATGGTAAAGTGTTTAAGCAAATGAATCTCTCAGTTTTTTTTCTTATTCCTAAGAAGAACCACCAATTTACGGTTTCTAACTTTAGATTTTTCAAGGGGCGTGTGTCCGGCGACGATCGTTTGGTCGTGATGCGAGTTTGGATTTTGCGTCTGTTAGTTGCTGACCTCGGCATATCAGATCGTTTTTTGTTTCTTTTTTGGGATTGGGGTCATCGACCATCGTTTGAGATCTGTCTTGGTTGATTCGAGCAAGACATTCGTTGGTTGGTTTGATTGTGCCGGAGGTGTTCGGTCTCGACAATGAGCAGGTTCGGAGTTTCTGGCAGAAGGTTAGAGCAACAGTTTTGCATGGATAGCTTCGTGTACAAATACAAGAAGATGGTGAATGGGGCGGAGGAGGAAGAACTGGATCTAGATGAAGCTGATGTTGAGGTTGTGGCGGATGAACGGCGGGCGCGTCCCCCTCCTGAGCCGCCGTCTTGGAGTGCAAGCAAATCTTGGGTTTGGAAGAAGACTTATCTTATTTGTTTTGTTTGTTTTTCTAGTGATTTCTATGTCTGTTTTGTCATTTGCTTTTTCTTTATTGTTCCTGTTAGTAAGTCGTTGGATTTGGATGTGGGGGATGAGAGGAATACTGTAACCGTTTTTGGCTTTGGTGCTCCCATTTATGGATAAGCGAATTATATTGCTTCTCTGGAGGTGATTAATTTCAAGTCTGGTTCGCGGGACGACGGTTGTCAGATTTCTTTTTGTCATTTTACCCATACTTCGAATTATGTGTTATCAATATAAGCCGAATTCTTCCAAAAAAAAGTTTAGATTAATTTGCATGAATCAATGTAACATATAAATGTAACACCAAAACCTAATCCGCTAAATTGGATCTGGTTTAAGCATATGTTGTGGACAGTGGCAGAGCCACTTTAGTGCAAAAGTATTCACTTGAACACCTAGTTTTTTGCAAAAAAGTGTTAGTATACATGTATAATTTTAGTTTGATTAGTTATTGTCTTTTTAAATTTTAGTTTTAGAAACAAATGAACACCCAAAGTTTAAATGATAGATCCGCTACTGGTTGTGGACTTTTCTCGAGCTTTCGATAAAGATATTACTACAAATTGTAGTGTCTTTGTACCTCAAAATCTTGTTCGAATGTACGCAAAGAAAGACATAAGTGGCGGATTTTGAATTTTCATTTTGGGTGTTCATTTTTTTACAATTAAGAATTTAAAGAACAATAAATGATTACATTAAATTTACTCATTTATACCTAAATATTTTTCAAATTTTTGAGTGGTAATGTGAACACTTTTGAAGAATGATGGCTCCGCGCCAACCCCTACGAGCTACCTTCCCTCCACTCATGCCACTACCGTACTCCCACTCCTCGCTTGAAGTTCCACGATGAAGGGGAAGGGAGAGACTCTGAAAGAAAAGAACCCGGTTGAAGAAAGAAAGAAAGAAAGAAAGAAAGAAAGAAAGAAAGAAAGAAAGAAAGAAAGAAAGAAAGAAAGAAAGAAAGAAAGAAAGAAAGAAAGAAAGAAAGAAAGAAAGAAAGAAAGAAAGAAAGAAAGAAAGAAAGAAAGAAAGAAAGAAAGAAAGAAAGAAAGAAAGAAAGAAAGAAAGAAAGAAAGAAAGAAAGAAAGAAAGAAAGAACCTAAATTAAAATTTTGAACGTTTTTGTAACTTCCAGGGTCTGATTGAGTGTTTTTTAGTTCGAAGACTTAATTGATTTTTTTATACAAATCGAGGCATATTTAATAGTTTTCCCTATATATAATGATATTATCTAAATATATTCTGAATAATAGAATCGGTTATGTTTCTATACTGTTTTAATTTACATACTATATACGTAGTAACATTTTGTCTTGATCAAATTGTGTCAAGTAATAATGTTTTATTATGAATACAATGTACGTAGTATTTGTCAAACTTATAATAGTACACGACACTTTAAAACATTAGTATTAATGGATGCATGTATGTACACATGCAATAATTTTTTATATAACTTCTCATTAAATGAATAAATTGATGAAACTTCTTATTTTATTTTATGTAAGAACCCAAATAGCAAAATATGATCCTTGAGACACGCTTCATACTTCATAGTATAAAGAAGTCTAAACTGAAGAATCAGGGTTGGAATGGGGATGCTGGACTGCATCAATTGTAATCTTTTAGGATTGAAATACTATAAGAAGATGGAACCCCATTTCATCATGTTGCTTATCCTACTTGTTGGAGCTAATTTATTCACATCATCTCAAGGTTAATATTATCTTTCTTTAATCAATTAATTTAATGGTATAATAATCTACATGTAGACTAACATTCAAATATTTTTCCTGTAATTATTCACCATTTACTCAATACTTGATCCTATTTTAATTATTTAATTAGATGTCCCGTGAAACCAAACCTATATATATATATATATATATATATATATATATCCATTATACGTACACTTTAAAAATGAACAAAATCAAGCTTGGAATTCTAATTTTAACTATGTTAAAATATATATCCGCCTTTTGCATGAGAATTGAGACCCTCCATTATTCACTGCAAAAAATCACATTTTAGTCTATTAGAAATATGATACTCGTAATTTTTTGTACGAACCACTTGGTTAGAGAAAAACAGCATAAAACTCAGTTTGAATTTTTAGTTCTGTTTTTTTTTTTAAATTTTAGTTCTAAACATTATATTCAGCTTGTTAATGATTTTAATAATTTGTTATTGTTGTTTCTTTTATTTTGGAATGCAGGAGTCTCAAACTATGATTACTCAGCTCCCATAGAAGTAACAAAAAATGACATATCATATCATCCATAATTTAGAGGAAATTATTTTTGAGAAAATTTCTTAAATGAGAGGACTAAAACGTACATAGACAAAGTGCACAAATAGAACCAACATTGTTTTCTCTCTAAAATATGAGTCATTTACTCCTAATTATGAAAGTTTTATGCTTAATAGGATTAAATGAATCCTATCTTGAGAGTAGAATATGTAACTACTCTTAGTTGTGCACTTTATTCATATACTCCGTATATTATAGTCCTATTTGGAGCAATTTTTTAATTTTTTAAGTATGAGTCACACATGAC